ATTTCTTTAATAAAATTTTAAGTATTTTTATTGGCAAAATTATATACAAAGTACTTCGAATAACAAAAACCTTTACACTATATTTCTAATCAGAAACTCTCTACAGTTATAAACTTTCAGATATGGACATTATACTCAGGACTTTTTAAGTAGTCTTTCTAATAAGTATTCTTGTAAATTTTCTAATACAGATCTATTATTACCTAATATAAATTTATCTTGTGTTTACACTGCCTATTTTACAATGCTTAGAAGTACATCTATATATATCAACTTGTATTCTTCCATATTCTTAATTGAACAAACTCTTTGCAGCTATTTGCTTTTAGATATAGACATCATAATACAGATTACTGCAGATCTGTTACCAACTTTACTTGATTTTGTATCACAAATTACAGCCAATAAGCCAACATTTTTAATTAAGTTGACATATCAATTAAGACACACAAGATTTTTAGTTTTTAATATTTGTTACTAGTTGGAATTGAATATTAGACCTTGTTATTTAGGATGCAACAACTTGACCACTTCACTAAGTCACCACATCTTGAAAAATCAATTTTTATATTATAAATCTTATAATAAATTATAAAAAAATGCAAACTTTGAAGAACTATGTCACAAAATTTTATTAATATAATTACTTTTATGTCTTAAGTAAAAAATAATTCTAATCTTATTTTAAATTAATTTATATAAAAAATATTCTTTTAAAAAATTGTCAATTTGGATCACCTAGCTCATATATATTGATTAGTAAGATCACACAAAGTTAATTTTTTCATTTTCTATAGCATGGATCTGAAAAATTGGATTAGTTTGTCAAATTTTTTTTTAATACTGGCCATATTGGGGAATTCCAGGAAATTGATATTTACGAGTAACACCAGGAAATGATGGGAATAATTGGCACATTTGGCACTTATAAAAAAATTGAAAAATTAAAAAATAGGTATGCAAAATGAAAAATCAACTTTCGTGGCCAAGTTTTTTAAGTGAAGTTTTCTTTTGTTGTCATAATAATAAATGTTTTTGTAATTTGATTAGTTAATCATCACGGGCGATCATGAGTAGATCGATAAAAATTAATGACCGTCATGGCAAAAAAATGTTCATATCAGCCTCTTTGACGTAGCCAGATAAATCATATGCTACATAAAATTAAATCAATATTAATACTAATTTAATGTTGATTTAATTTTCATGTAACATATGATTATTGGACTACGTCGATGACGTGATCCGGATATTATTTTTGCATTGTTGTGCTGGGAAAACTGCTCCAGAATCTCGTGCACCAGATGATAAGTAACCTTTACGAAAGAGGATATTAGATTTGACTGGTGGGTAATTAAGGGTTTTGGTTACTTGGGGTCAACGAAAGTCGAATTTCCTTATGTCAAGAAAATCCCGAGCTGACGGTCAAAAAGATATGGGTCGTAGTATATCAAAAAGTCTCTATATATCCAACATTAACAATCATGTCTTATAAGTAAATTTTCATCCTGAAAACTTTTATTTAGAGGTCGGAAGTTAGTTATCATAGTAAATTTTTGTGTTATTTGCGTATTTTTTACAATTTCTTATGTTTTTCGCGTTTGTTTTGTTACACGAGTTCCTAGGATTTTATTGGATCCGAATAGGATCGGAAGTGATCTTCAGCGATCTTCAGCCCGGGCTTTTCTTGACATAAGGGTATCCCCATTTGTGATGCACCAAAAAATCTTTTAGTTTGTTTTAGTTAGGGTTAGTGCTTCTAATAAAGCTATGCATTAGAGTTTATAGTAAAATTGCTCAAGTAATTGGTTTGAAAAAACAGCATTTGTTTTGATCTTCCGGATCGTGTTACGCTCCGAAAGTAGGTACTTCGGTATCTACCGAACCCGAAAGTCTGCCAAAAGTACTCTCGAACAGGATTTGGTTTACCGAAATGTCCGAAAGGCGAAAGACACTTGACTTTTAAAATCAAAAAAAGTATCTGTGACAGGATACGATTGGCCTTTGTCGAATTCTCGAAGTCCACTTTCGTTAGGATTTTCGATTTTCGGTAAGACTTTCGGCAAGTCGAATTTACCAAAAGTATTCGGCACGCCCAAAGTAATTTCGGAGCTATCGAGACTCGCTATTGGGTAAGTCACTGTCGATCGTCACGTGATAGTAACTTTTTACGGTGATACTAGTGACACGGGCGAAACGGCGAGTCAGTCGCTTGACGATGGGATATGTCGTGTAACCTACGAACGGCTTAGTCGATAAGAGGCAGTTTGATTTGGCGAGTGGTGTGTTTATGATCGTAGGTTTTTATAATATAGTATCACGAAAACAGGAAAGTATTTGGGTCAAAATGTATTGCAAGCACGAATAACTACTGCTCAGGTAGGGCTCAAAGCCTTTATTATATACTGTTATATTACTTATGCGCTCCTACAGCTATTAAAGATATTAAACTTATTATTTATCGTATATACTTTTAATGTCCTATACTACTTAAATCCCCTATATATCATATATCCCTTTACTTATGGTTTTCCCTTAAAGTCCTTATTACCGCTATTTCCCTTATATCTTCTAAACGACTTTTACGACCGATAATCCCGGGAAACCCATTTTAGGTAGATGATCGACATAACCGTTAATTGCATTACTGCGCCACAATGATCATCCCCTGCCACGTGCTCCCGGGATCACGTTTCCACTGCTCACACTAGGTAATTACTAACCTATTTTAAACCATTACGACAAAACTCCATCCTTGTACATTAGTTTATTACTTTTTAGTATAATATGTTTCTCAAATATATTTTCCGAGTAAAACATGCGTAAATGATCAAAGTCAAAGAAATGGTAAAATTGACAAATTAGCGTTTCACAATTCTAAACACGCCATTTTATGTTAATTAATGATTATTTTTTTTTGATTTTTTTTTATTCCTTATCTATATATTTCTATTATACTTGGATAGGCCGAGACTCTCTATAATAAACATAATAGCTACAAATAAAACAAAGGAGTGTTATCAAGGGAAAGTCTGTAATTCATGGTTTTTAGAATTTCACGTTCAGAAATGAGCTCACTAGATCCCTAATGAATAATACATTCTATTTAACGAAACATGTGTCTAATAAACCTGTTTACATAAAATTTATTTTGGGGAATAACAATCCCAAATTTTCCCCGGGGTATTTAAATATGGCAAGGATGTCCATGCCCCATTGGAAATCGCTAAAATGAGATTAACAAAAGTTACATTTTCAATGCATTTTATGGATGTTTTTTATATATATCTATTGCCGCTTATATTATCAATAATATAATTATGCAGTATGTATATCAATATATTGGATTACATGTTATGTAAAACATTAATGAATATGGTGAAATGATCAGAGTAAGACATAAAATATGGTAAGGATAATCCGGTGCTGCTCACTTCACCGACAGTCATTTCACCGAAAGTTCATTTAGCCGACATCACATGGGGTTAGTGTTAGGGTTTTATTAGTTTCAGGTATATATTTTTAGTAAATTGTCACTTGATGTGATGTCGGCTAAATGAGCTGTCGATGAAATAATTGTCGGTGAAATGATACGGATCCGGATAATCAAGATATTTGAAGGTATGATTTAATTTTATTTAGGATACTGGATACTCAGACTTCAAATTATAATTTGAAAAAAAAATTTATAAACATGCATACGAGGATAAAATTCTTTACAACCGCTGTTATCAAGCATGACATTCATAAAAAAAACTTTTACTAAAATCAAAAACAGAATTGAATATTTTGGTGAAAAAGGATGGCATAATTGGGGTCAAAATCAGAAATGCTCTCCTGCTGAAATTTTTCGCCCTGTTAATTTACATGATTTAAAAAAAATAGTAAAAAAAGCAAAGCAAAATAATAAGAAAATTCGTTGTGCCGCTGCTGCCCATAGTTGGAGTAGCCTCAGCGTCACTAGTGGATATTTGGTAATAGTTACTGATTTGAATGATATTAAGATTCAATATAATGAAAGGTTGAAAACTTGGACTGTCACAACCGAAGCAGGTAAGGAAAAGAATTCTAAACGATTAGCAGATAATTGTCTATCTTTTTCAATATTTTAACTTATCTGATTGAATTTATAGGTGTATACCTTAAGGATCTTGATAAAAAGTTAAGAAATCATGACCCTCCATTAACGATGGATTCTGCAACCGTATTGAACACTGTGACAACCTCCGGCATTGTATCGACTGGTTCTCATGGTGCAAAATGCGCAAGTTCAAATATTTCGGACAAGGTAATCTCCTTTCAAATTATAACATCCGATGGTAAACTACATGAATTTTCTGACGAGATAGATCCTGTCGAAATGAATGCAGCTAGAATCAATTTCGGTAAATTTTCATTCCTTTAAACAAGAAAAAAAAACATACAAAATTATTTACTTATATTGTTTTTTAAACATTGATTCTGTGCTAAAGGTCTTTTAGGAATTATATATAAGCTCACTTTTAAGGTCGAACCAATGTTCAATTTAATGATGAAAGATGTATTTCCAAATATTTCGGATTGGGAACCAGAAAATCTTAAAAATGATGTATTGAATTGTGATAGTATTGAAATTTTTTATTGGCCGTTCAATGCTGTCGGTCTTGAAGAAAAGAATGATAAGATTTGGGTAAAAACTTGGAAAAGAACAGATTTGAATGTCACAGTGAATCCGATCGAAGCAAAATTATTGGGAGACTTCCAAAATTTTGGAACCAAATTTGGGGATCATCTTTACGAACATATGGTTAAATTCCCAGATTCTACTCCATACATTACTAATCTTGTCTTTAATATTGGTTTGAACCATGAAAGTGAAAATATTTTACAAGCACCTGACGCAATTCATTATCAAGTATGTTTCTTAATATTAATTTTAAAATATTTTAAGCTATATTAAATCTTCTCAAATTTTATAGCACGGTACCGATAATGTTCCTTGTATGGACGTTGAGTTTGCTTTCAAGATTAACCATGTAAGTAAATATTTAAGGAAGAGATTGGAATAGATTACCGGACACCGATTATTCACTGAGCGTCGGTCATACAAGAATTAAATTTATGCACGTGCGTAATATTCTGCTTATATTTTGATATACGCTGATAATCGAATATCGGTTAATTAGACTAGAATTTATTCTAGGATTAAAAATTGATTATCGCACTTTACAAAAAGGTGTGCCCTTTGAAGATCGCTTTATCATGTGAAATCAGAGATTCTATAAATAAATAGATAATATAAAATTTTAGAATTTTCCTCAACCATCATCGTAAAACTCACGAAGTCACATCTTTCTGCAAAAAGCTATAATCAATTTTTCTAGTTGTTATGTTACTTTTTAAAAACAATGCGGGCAGATTTTATTCCGACTGTATGCTTTCTTTCTGTTTATCACGATACCCAATGATTTATAGAAAAAAAAACCTACTCATATTATGAAATTATCACCATAGCATTTTCATTTTAATATTGACCATTATTTCATTAGGAGATCTAGCATGTTGTAGTAGTAGTTTTTTTTTCCCCTTGAACTTAGATTAACTGCGTAATTTTCGTAACGAAATTTCTATATATTTTTCTGCCTATTTAATATGACTCCACATGATTTCATGCTTGATTCTAATATTATCCGATCTTCAGCTCGAGCTTGTTAATCAGGGTTATAAGTGGCAAATTCCCGGTAAATTGCCGAATCAATGCTCGAAATTCATCGATTCCAATCTTTAATTTAAATACTGATATGAGTTGATTATAGCATACACTAAATTAATAATTATATTACAAAAATTCAAGGATTTTTCAAATGTCATAGAAGAATTTAATTATATCGTTAAACGGGTAATATTTTTAAAAAATTATGCGATGTAATTACATTTCATCTGCAAATTATTTCTATTAACTCTTTCTCCATCTTTAGGTTTATGAATTAGCTGCAGAAAACAAATATCCATTAAATCTTACTGCAGAATTTCGTATTAATAAAGCGTCCAAATGTTTACTCGCCCCAACATATGATGAGGACCCAAATGCGTATTACTGCTTAATGGAAATCTTGTCTGTTAATGGTACCCAAGGTTTTCTTGACTTTTCAATTGAGTTAGCCAAAAGATGGATGGAGAAATATAATGCTATACCACATTGGGATAAAATGTGGGAACATGTGCCCAATATTATTCCATATCTACGTAATCTTATGGGAAAACGTTTAGAAGAGTTTGAAAAGATTAGGGCGAAGTACGATCATCATGAATATTTCTTTGATAATGATTCTCTGAGACGACTTCTTGGCAAATAATATGCTATGAATTGTTTAGTTTATTTGTCTTTATTAACAAACTCTACAGTATGTTGCTTATTTAATGTTTTAAAAAAATACATTTTCTTTGTAATATACTTGACAATAACACAAATGATTACAGATCTATAAAATTTGTTATTTATTCCCGATTATTGTAATACTTATCCCTTAAACTGTTCCTCCTGCAAATTTGTCCTGAATTTTTTTAGAAATAATATATTTAAGATAAAATTTTGAATATTAATTTTAGCAATATAGTTTCTAAATGAAAAATATATTTTAAGATCTGTTTTATTAATTTTGTTGAGGAAATTTTTTAAAATTATTAAAAAATTTTTGAGTAATAAAAAGTTAAAGTTTTTGGTTTGAAATTTTTATTATAAAATTTTTTTAAATTTTTTAAATTTTATATGTTTTTGATTATATAAAGATTTTTTACTTCTAATAAAAGGTTATTTTTTACAAGTAAATTACTTGTACGTTAATAATGAACGTTGTCATCCTTTATATAAACTTCAATATTGTTTTAAGAATTATATTTTTAATATCAATATTTAGAAAATTTACTAAAAAAATTGTAAAATATTTTTTAATTAAAGGTTTTTATAAATTTATCTATTTTTGTTTTATAAGAAATTTGAATTTTTTGTTTTATTATATAAATATAAATATTACATAAATATAATTTTTATTTTTAAATATTATCATATTAATTTTATTTAAATATTTTAAATATTAAAAAAATAGATCAAACCTATTTTTATAGTTAAATTCAGAGCAAATTTACTCTAAATTTTAAACAGTTTAAGGAATATATTATTGGTTATTTTATTAGTATAATACACTAATCTGATATATTTGAATTAAAATATAATTATACAAAATTTTACATATTAATTTGCAATTAATTATTATATTTAATATTTAAAAATTTATAAAACATAAAAAAAAATTTGATGTCTAGAATTAATAGCATAGCAGTTATGCTTTGAGGTTACAAATTACAGGTTGCCAGTTTAAATTCTAGTAATAGCAATTGTAAAGATATATTTTCAAAATAGTGAACTGCAACATCATGGAACCAGAGATCCAGAACATCTAATAGACAAACTTATATCTGAAAATGACAAGTGACCTGTAGTTGAGAAATTACATGATGATGAACATGAGTTGGAACCTAATTTTGAATAACCAAAGTCATGTGATGTAATGTGAAGCTAAAAGTCTAACAATAAAAAATACTACATAAACTTATAGTAATAGCTAATTCTTGATAGAGTCTGGTGAAGCCTTTTAATATTAGCAGAGATCAGTATAACAGTTGCTTCTGAAAAGTTTAGTTAATTTTCAAAAAAAATTAAAAAATTAAAAATTTTTAATATATTTATAAATTAAATAATTACAATAAAGTATTTTTATATTACTATACAAGTATTTTAATGTAATTTTATTATATAAATCTGTAAAATTTTAATTTTAATTATTATTTAAAAAAAAGTTATAATAAAAAAGAAAACTATCTATTTAAATTAATTTCTATACAAAAAATTAATATTTTTATATAGTATAAATTTAATTAGCTAAAGAAAATTTTGTATTTAAAGTTATATTAACTAATTATTAGTTAGTTAATCGATTTAGCTTTTTTATATACTGTGATACTAAAAAATCATAATTGATTACATAAAAAATACATAAAATGCAATAAGTTATATTTGTAATCAGAAACAGTATTTTAGATCCAAAGAGGTAGATAGTAGAATAAGAAAAGAAAATAATAATAAATTAAATATTTTTATAGATATTAAATAGATTAGAATAAATAATATTAAGTAGTCTTAAAGTAATAATAAGCACAAAGTCATATTTGTAAATAACAAATTTAGTATTATAAATAAAGTTTAAAATAACTCTTAGAAGTAAGAAATCTTATTCTCTTAATTAAAAATAGCAAGTTTCAATACATTATATTATATATAAAAAACTCTAACATAATTATTATTACAAACTTTGTAAATCTGATATAAACTGCTATTTATTTAGTTTTTGTTTATATAACTTACTCTACTTGTATTTGTTAACTTAAAATAAATAAAATTCTTAATTACATATTAGCCAAATCTAGCACTCTTTTTCAAAAGATTATCTATTATACATTATATAAGATATTGGATTGTAAGGTAACTGAGTCATAATCTTTCAAATTTATAAATATTATAAGATGAATAAATCTAATTGTAACAACCTGTTATGCACTTATTTGTAACAACTCAATTAGTATGACCAATAAAAATAACTAAAATTTCTGTAATCCAAACCTTAACTCTAACTACTATTGGCTAATCTGAAGTTGTTATGTGTAATATGTTGTTACAATATATTAATTCTTATAAAATTATTGTTCATCAAACTAAAAGTATATTAAGATTAAAATTTAGTGCAGGCTTTAATTTATTTGATATTTATAACTAAACTTTTATATCAAAAACTTTGATTTAAAAGACAAACTGTAATTATTATAGTAAAATTTTAAGCTATTTACAATTCTTCTGTTTTTTTTCAAAATTTTAAATTATATATAATCTTGTAATTTTATTAAATAACAATAGTAATAATTAATATAACTTATTATTTTTTATTGGACTTTGCTTTGATTAAATAAATAAATTTATTAAACTTTAAAATTTTTTATATATCAAAATAATAGCTTGCATATTAAATTATTTTTAGAGCAATATAAATATATTATAAACTATGTATTATATTAAACTTTTGCAAAGAAATTTTTTTATTAAATTACAAAAATTAGTTTATTAAGCAAAGTTTTTAAGTTATTAATAATTTTTAAAAAGTCTTAATTTTTTTATAATTTTTATATTAGACAAAATTTTGCAAATTGATTAGTAGATAATGAGTAATATAATCTAGTTGGTCTAATTAAAAACAGAATTTATATCAAATTGGCAAATTTTAAAAAAACCAAAATTTTAATATATTAACCAATTGGTTATTAATAAAAAATTATACACTAAACAACTATTACCCAATATTAGACTGCTATTTCTTTTATTTATTCTATAATTTAACTATTAAATTAAATAATCAACTAATTATTCAAATTAATATTAAAGAAATTTAGCTTTAATTCATATATATAACTCTATAATATTCTAACAAACTCTAACAATTCAACTACAAATATTATTACTATTATATAAAGTTCAACTTATTTAATAATTTGTTAATATATCACTATATTAAAAACAATTAATTAACTTAAACCTTTTTATTACTCAACTTAATACAAATAAACTACATTTTTATACTAATAAATCAATTAAAAATCTTCAAACTTCAGATATTAAATCTGATATAAAACAGATTTGAAAATATGCTATAACTATAAAATTTAATGCAGCTATACAATCATATCTTAACTAATACCAAGTTTAATTTTTAGATAGCCAATTGAATAAAGTGTTGTTGATTTAATAAATTTCAAGAAATATATAATGTTAGAGGAGTTTGAGATTGTTTACTAAATTAGAATCTAGAAGCACAATAAGGTATCCAGATTTAAGAATAGATTTGCTGATTGAGATAAAACAGAAATTTAATAGAAAGTGTAGTAGCAGTTTTAGTAGATAAAATAATATTATTAATTGAATTAATTAGGTTATAAAGAACTAAACCAGTTAAAGTTGATAACAGAGATGTTAAGTTGAATGTATTATAAAATTATATGCAATCAAAGTTTTTAATTAGACTATATAAGTTGAATATAGTTACTAGTAGCACATCAAGAGTAGAAGTATTAAGTAAATAATTAAGTAAATTATTAATAATATTGTAAAAAAGATTTAAAGATAGACAAATAGTTCAATAGAGTGAAGTGTTTATTTAATTGCATTAATAATAGTTGAATAATTGAGCATGATTGCATTTGTATAAATTGTATATAGGGTTGTAAATTTATAACAATTTTTGATTTTTTAATATAAGATAAGTTATAAGCATGTAACTTACATATAAGTATATAAGTTAAATAATAATAACTCTTAAAACTATATAAATAAAAGTTTTCAATAATTTAATTTAAATAAAGTTATTTTGTAGAGCTTATCTGTTCTAGTTTAAAATTTTGTAATCTTTTATAAGATCAGATTAAATTACAGTTTAAAACCTAATAATATTAATAAAATTATATTAAATAAATCAAATATTTAAGATATTCTAAAACATTTTTCCAAATACAGTATGTTTTGAATTAATATATGTTTTTAGTACTTTATATATCAATTTATTTAATTTATAAAATTATTTATATGTAATAATATTATTATTGCATAAAGTTCTCTTATTTGCAATTTTAAACTATTAACAACAAGAATTAAATATAATGTTAATAGCAAAATAAACTTTCAAGATTTTTTTAAAAAATTAACTATAATTTAAAATTTTATTTATAAAACTATCTATATTTTAACAAAAACAATTTTTTGCAAATTTGATTATATTAATGTTTTTTATAATATTATCTTAATATTTATTTTTAGTTTATTATTAGAACTGATAGATCTGATCTTTGAATAAATTAAAGAACTATTAGTTTAGACCAGATTAATTGACAGTTCTAGTTTTTAAGAAGTATATTTTTAGAATAAATGTTCTCATAACAACTTGTTACATATAACAACCTCTGATTAGCCAATAGTTGTTAGAGTTAGAGTTTGAGTTATATAAAATTTAAGTTATTTTTATAAGTTGTACTAATTGAGTTGTTACAAATAAGAGTATAACAGGTTGTTACAATTAAATTTATCTTATTTTTTATTATATTATATATATACTATATATTATATTAATATATATTAATCTGATTAGTTAATTTATTGTATTATTTAATAACTTATTATATATTATAAATTTTGAATATAATTTATATATAATTTACATGTAAGGTAAGTTTGTAACTTATGGTCTTACAACTTTAGTTG